GCGTTATTAATAAAAAAAAAATAAAAAGCCACCACTCACTAATATCAACTATGAACACGGCCACAATGTACTGGACTTATTTGGAAATGTCGGTCCTTGAATTAACTAGCACTTAGTGTTATTTTCAAACCAGTATAAACAGATCGTAGCAAACAATATGACCTGTTTTGTGACAGTTATTATATTCTCTTTTAGATTAGTCTGTATTGTAGAGTATTTGATGGAAACTAAAAGGGCGGTGCCAATAAGAAATCACCATCAGTCTTTTTTTTTTCTTTTTTCTTTTTATCATTTGTTTCCAGTAACTGGAAATTTTCTATTTTCCCAAAATGGGACAGCACAGCCATGCAACAAGGCTATAACAATGCAGCTGTGAATGTGTTAATATCAGTAAGTTATTAAAATTCTGATTTTGTTTTAACCATATTTTTTCTTTCTTTCTTTCAGGTAAGCATGCTTAATGAACATTTCCTACATCGTTATTCTGTGAGTATACATTTTTTTTTAAAATACTGACCATATTATAATTCTGCCTATAATTCTCCATCGTTATTTAATAACATAGTTAGCACGTGCGTTACGTCGTCATTACCTTCGGTAAATAATTAACCGTGACTGCGGGATAAAACGGAAGAAAAAGCTACCGTTAATTTTGTTTGGTTTTAGCGAAAAAACGAAAGCATGCATAACAAGAATGACACGGCAAATAGAAGGCAATAATGTTCTCGTGCGTTTAACGTCTGCTTCTGTGAAATGGAAAAAAACGTCAGATTTTACTCTTTTCTTTTTTGCTCTTTTCACTCTGTTAAGTCTTAATACATGATTCACCCTTGGACAATCCAAGTTCGCAAGTTCTTTAGAACCTTCCATATTTGTGCTGACATGGCCTAGTGGTTACTTACATTATTTACATTATTCGGATTGGTACCCTCATCTTCATTACCATATTCACAACGTCTCGGCCGTTGTACGCCTCTGTCTTCTTCCGGTGATTGAATAACAGTCCGAATAATGTAAGTAATCATCATACCTCATCTCGGGGATATAGACAGATATGATCTAGTGGTTAATTGCTGATTAAGATGGTACTTAGCCGTTGTAAGTTCAATCTCTCGGCCGGTAGGTAGGGCAAAAAGTCATAATCCTGTTCAGTAGAACAGACAACCGACGTACGAAAACAATTTACCCCGGTGGACTGATTATAGGTTACCATGCGATCTGACGAGGGCTGAAAACTTTGGCGACTACACAAACCGGGTTTTGAACACTCCTCTGTGTAAAGCAGTAGTTTTATAATGATTCCTCGTGTCAAAAAATTCAGATAGAAAGAAATCAAATTATTTCAAAATGAATATTGACATTGCTTCAACTAAGAAATCTGAAAATTGATCAAGAGGAGATTGTGGAACGTCATTTCTGCCAGATGACAATTATAATCTGCAAAAGCGAGAGATATTTCAGTGTCGAGTGAGTGGATAATGAATGGAATTCAATTGCGTTTAGTCATGTGCGGTTAGTCATCGTAATTTAATAGTTTCTCCTTTCAAAAGGTCCTATTTTGTTTTCGACATTATCTTATTGGCCCAAACATTTATGTGTTAGATTATTAAATGTCCCGGACTAGTTTGAAATTTGATAAATGAATTTATTAGCATCATTTATTATATCTCTACTTGGTGATATTGTCTGGTTTTTTGTTTGTCTTTTTTCTCTCTCTTTTCAATCTTTTCGCTCTCTCGGATCTTTCTCACTCTCGCTCTCTCGGATCTTTCTCACTCTCGCTCTCTCGGATCTTTCTCACTCTCGCTCTCTCGTTTCTTTCTCACTCTCGCTCTCTCGTTTCTTTCTCACTCTCGCTCTCTCGTTTCTTTCTCACTCTCTCTCTCTCTTTCTCTTTTTCCTCTCTTTCTCTAGTTTCTTTCTCTCTCTCTCTAGTTTCTTTCTCTCTCTCTCTCTCGTTTCTTTCTCACTCTCTCTCTCTCTCTTTCTCTAGTTTCTTTCTCTCTTTCTCTAGTTTCTTTCTCTCTCTCTCTAGTTTCTTTCTCTCTCTCTCTAGTTTCTTTCTCTCTCTCTCTCTAGTTTTTCTCTCTCTCTCTCTCTAGTTTCTCTCTCTCTCTCTAGTTTCTCTCTCTCTCTCTCTCTAGTTTCTCTCTCTCTCTCTCTCTAGTTTCTCTCTCTCTCTCTCTAGTTTCTTTCTCTCTCTCTCTCTAGTTTCTTTCTCTCTCTCTCTAGTTTCTTTCTCTCTCTCTCTAGTTTCTTTCTCTCTCTCTCTCTAGTTTCTTTCTCTCTCTCTCTCTCTAGTTTCTTTCTTTCTCTCACTCTCTCTAGTTTCTTTCTCTCTCTCTCTCTAGTTTCTTTCTCTCTCTCTCTCTCTAGTTTCTTTCTCTCTCTCTCTAGTTTCTTTTCTCTCTCTCTCTAGTTTCTTTCTCTCTCTCTCTAGTTTCTTTCTCTTTCTCTCTCTAGTTTCTTTCTCTCTCTCTCTCTCTGTTTTTTCTCTCTC